CCCCCCTGCAAACTGGATTTCAGTTTGATGGCCACAAATCCTTTTTCTGTGCAACGTATGTAAAGCATCTTTGGCAGCACGAACATCCTCAAGTTGAACATCAGCAACGCCTCTTGGGCATCGAGTGTGGCAATCAAGTGGAACATACACTTCAACAGTAGGCCCATTGCGACCAAGTTCGCGATGTAGATCTTCAGACCTGGTGTCATCAGCCAAGTTCCTCACAGAGATGTGTTTTGGGGGTGGGGGTGGGGTGGGGGTGTTGCACAAGTAGCTGGTTATGTTGGAGGAGTACATCTCAGCCAGGGGCACTGACAGGCTACACAAACTGTCCGCGCATGCTGTGTCTGCCCTTTAGTATTTTGATATATAGAAAACTAGCAGGTGGAAGTTTGATGAAGAATTGTTTACATAGTCTCAAAAGAACCACAAAATGCTCACCTACAAAGGGGAAGACCCTACCTTTGTAGTGGAGAAAGCTGGCCAGAGTTTCCATCAGCAGCATGGGGACAAATCATGTCACGTGCCTCCCAACACAATGTCCTATACTAAGGAAGAAACTACTACTTCTGTGTGTCGTTCTTTCTCCCAAAATGCATAGCCTGAATCTAATCTGGAGCAACCACAAGATAAGCCCAAAGCGAAGGGCATTCATTGTACAACACCTGGCCTGTCTTATTCAAAAACATTAAGCACATGAGGGACAAAGACAAGAATGAATTCTTCTGGAGCAAAGATTGAAATAGGATTTCAGAATGCCATGTGTGATCTTGGATTAGGGCATTAGTTGGCACAATTGGTGAAATTTGAATAGATCTTTAAGATAGTTGATGTCACCTCAGTGTTAATTTTGCTAATTGTAGGGTATGTGTGTAAGCATGTCTGGTTTGAGGAAATACAGAAGTGTCTAATGAAACATTTCAGAACAAAACGAATAAAGCAAGCCAGTGTTAAGTAAAATGCTAACTTGTGGGGAGTCTATGTGAATAGCATACAGGAATTCTTTTGACTATTTTTGCAAGTCTGAAATTTTTTCAACATGAAAAATTATTGGTATTAAATCTGCTAAGTTTATAAATAACCAAAAAACCAAACTCACTGCCATTGAGTCAGTGCTGACTCGGCGAGCCCACGTGGGTTTCCGAGACTAACTGTTCATAGGAGTAGAAAGCCCAGTCTTCTGTTCTGAGGAGCTGCTGGCAGTTTCACACTGCCGACCACGAGGGTCAGAGCCCAACACGTAACCACTACGCCACCAGGGCTCCTTACATGATAAACACAAGACCTTATTTTAAATCCTTCGTGTTCACGTTTTAATAATGTTTTGTTCCTCCGCTCCTGCTTCTTGAGCTTTGGTGGGGCCTGGTGGGATGGCGTGCACGTGCCTGTGCAGTGTGGCAGATGCAGGGGAGCCTGTCATTTAGAGGGGGGTAGGGGTGGGGGTGGAGAGTGTTTCAAAAGGCTGGAGTGGAAACTGCTACTGTGGCCATGCCTTGAACAATCCAGCATGTCATTCCCCCAGATTCTGTTGGTCAGATAAGTCCCTAAGGCTTGGATTCAAGGAGAGGGGAATGAGATAGCACCTCTCAGTGGAGCAGTAACTTAAAATTGTCAGTCATTATTTATCTGTCACCAGGCAATCTTATTTAAAATAATACCGTTGGCTCTGCATATTTTATATCTTAGTCTAATTTGAGGGTTTTGTAATACTAATTTTAGTAGTTAGAGGGTTTTGTATCACTAATTTTAGTGATGTCATGAAGGATGCTGAGGTAGCTGAAAGTGTTAGTGAACAAGTATCCGGATAACCCTGGAAGAATTGTAAGCATCGTTCTCCTCAGCCACACAACTTTCTTCTAGAGGGTACTTGTGTTTGTAATAAATATGTTCATAGAAAGAAGGTTTCAAGTACATACGAAGTAGTTTGTAGATTATTCAATTCATAAGTGATTTATGAAATTGTGTTTCGTTCTGATCTGGCCAGTGTTGACCTCACAAAGGAAGAAACAACTGATTCCCATGATTCTAAAATTAGCCCTCCTGAAAATGGCCAGCAAGAAGATGGCAGCATGTTCTCCCTCATCACCTGGAATATTGATGGATTGGATCTAAACAACCTGCCAGAGAGGATTCGCGGGGTGTGCTCCTATTTGGCTTTGTAAGTATTACTTCATTTCAACAGTGGCATCATCTTGCAGTGTAACAGCTCAAGACTACAGGCCGTAGAATCAGACTGGGCTCCTCGTTCAGCTCCGAGAGCCATAGCTGAAAAAACAAAGTGATTGCTTCTAGGAACAGGATGTAGGAGTAGGGACTAATCTTGCCTACACAGCACAGATATTGCTCACTTTACGATTCGTAAAGATCAGTGTAGACACTGACTAGTAGAGTAGTGGTTACGTATCTTTTGTGTAGCTAGTGAAAGTGAAATGGTCTGCCCAGTACTGATAATAAATTGATGCTTTAAATTAGGTACAGCCCAGACGTGGTATTTCTTCAAGAAGTAATTCCTCCGTACTATAGCTACCTAAGGAAGAGAGCAACCAGTTATGAAATTATTACAGGTAACAAGTTTACTGTTCTTTGAGTGAACTTTTCCTTAAAAAAAAAATCAATGGGATCTACCAAGTCAAATATCTATGGGTTTTTAAATTTTGTTTTCTTTTTTCATTATAATTGCTCTTTTTAACAGCATCTTTATAAATCTTTGTGTTGGGGCATGGCAGAGAATGACAGCATCCGCAAATCATGCACTGCAACATTAGATGTCGGACATGTTAGGATTTCGAGTGCTGAGAACATGCATTCATGCATAATGACTGTCATAAGTTGGGGGCTTCTATATCTTACTTCTTGAGGAAGTCAGGCTTTGTCTCTTTCAGGTTTACATTTCTTCCTGCATTGTTTTTACTCCCTCCTTTTTGTTTTGTTTGTGGTGACTCTCCTTTGATTTTGGCCTGTTACGCAAATATGTCAGGGTCCTCGGCATGTGGTTTATATTTGAACTCAGGCACTCAAAAGTTAGTTGTATCCCTGAGCTGGATTTGGAACACCTCATCACGGGATTGAGTGGAACTCACTGCTTCTTCATTGCTTACTTAGTTGTCAGTACATACACCCACTGCCATCCAGGCGTTCTGAGTTAGAATGACCTCTACAGTCCCATTCCAAAAAGCTGCTGGTGGATTAGCATCTCAGTGCTTAATTCAAAGCACCACCAAGGAGTCAGTTGTCTCTGTCCGCTCATGGAGACTTTTTATGTAAGGCTGTTCAGTTTCTAAATTCTGCTTTGTTTTTCTTTAAATTCTTCAGCTCTCCGACTGCAGAGTGTGTGAGCACTGGGCTTTCTGCGTGGTTTGTTTGCTTTCTGGAAACAGGTCAGGGGAGGGTACGTTCCCTCTACATAGAGGGCACATGCTCACTTACCCTGTTTTCAGGCCCTTCCTTCAGCCTATCCCGTGCATTCCCTCCACCAACTCACCCCTCGCATAGCAGCTGTCTGTCAGGGTCTGCAATTCAATTCCCTAACGTGCCTCTAATCTCCACCTGAGTGGACTTGGCCGCTGGGGTTGAGGTGGAGACCCGAGAGGTGTTCAGCTCATATACAAACCTTCAACTAGCCCACTCTGTTCGTCATCCAGCTCTTTACCCCGAACTTTGTGCTGGGGTGCAGAGCCTTTCCTGGCTTGTGTGCAGCGAATCTGATTGCATTCTGTTGCTGCCTGCAACAGGTGCCCCAGTGAGCTCCCTTGCTTGTCATTACCCCGTTCACCCTCTGAAGAACTCTTGGAAGCTTTCACTCCAGTTGTTTACATTTTTTTTTTAAATCCATTTACGGTTTTTTGGGCATTTCCAGTGGGAGTGAAACAAAATCCTTGTCAATTTGCCTCAGTTCAAGTCTCTTTCAGAAGTTTTTCAGTTTGGGTATCCTTAACTGTTTTTGTCATGTAGGTGAATTTATTCTTATTTTGGGATTTCTGTTCTTCATTTTCAGTTTCCATTGTAATTGAAGGTAGGTAAATCTATGGATTCAGATGGCCATCTTTAACTGTTTACTTAAAAGACCTAGATCCATTTAAATGTCTGTACTTGTTTGTTTTAAAACCTTTTGTTGGGGAACTTGTAATAATCTGATCATGCTTTAAATGTACCCCCCCCCTCTCCCCAAACTACACTCTTTTCCCAACCATTTGCAGGTAATGAAGAGGGGTATTTCACAGCCATCATGTTGAAGAAATCAAGAGTCAAACTAAAGAGCCAAGGGATTGTCCCTTTTCCGAGCACCAAAATGATGAGAAACCTTTTGCGTGTGCACGTAAGTCGTGACTGCACATTGCCTTCCTAATACAGAGTTGGGCTTATTAGGGTTTCATGGTGTTGTCTTTTCGTTTCTCACTTAGATTCCTTTAAATAACCTCCAATAGCTTTGTGTATTACAATTTTATGTACAGTTTCATTATAGACTTTTGAAAATAGAAAACACTGGTTTCCTAGGAATATTTAAGCATTTGCTAAGATTCCACTTTTGCTCTGTAAACGAATGTGTTTCCTATATGCTTGGTAACTGATGCTACGTTGTACCTTGTGAGGCCCACACAAAATAGTCAAATAGATCGTGCTCTCCTGGAATTTACAGATTAGGAAAGAAAGTCTACACACCATAGCTAAAATAGAGGAGAGGAGAGGTAACGTGTGATGTGCTGTGGGAGTTTAGAGGAGAGGAGGGCAGGATGACTTGTAACCAGAAAAGTTTAATGAAGGTTTCATGAAGGAAGTACTCTGACTTTCGGGCCTCTGACAAACAGGTGAGATTAGACATTAGGATTCGGAGAGGCAAGGCAGTTCGGGTGGAGGAACCACCATCCACGCTGAAAAGGCGGGCATTTCTGTGTGTGGATGAGCACTCTCTTCAGGTAGGTGTAGAAACATGAAGGAGAGGGGGGTGTGACGGTAGGAGGAAAGTAGGCTGGGTCCAAAGGACAAAGGGCCATGAACGCCCAATGTGAAAGAACTTGAACTTGCCTCTACAGCAGTTAGTAAAAATAACAGTTATTTTAAAATAACAACATCGTTGTCCCATTCACGCACTTGACTGACATTTTGGAGTACTTATAGAAGAGACTCTGCCAATAGAACCCAGCAACCTCTGCCATTGAAGACGGCGTCAAACTTCCCGTGGGCTTCCGCGCTGCACGTCTGCACAGGACAGACAAATTCATCTTTCTCCCTCAGAGCACCTGGTGCATTTGAACTGTTGAGACTTTGCCACTAGCAGCGCACTGCGTAACCCGCTTGAGCTACTTCTAACTCATGGTGAAGCCCATGGGTGTCAGAACTTGTTCCAAGGGATGTTCATTGGCGTCTTTTCCAGTGAAGACCACCGTGCCTTTCTCCGAGGCCCCACTAGATGTATGCGCCAGTCTCCCAGTCAGCAGCTGAGTACTTTAACTGTTTGCACCACCCGTTGACGCCCTAATAGGAAATAGGAAATGATAATTGTACTGTAGCCATCTAGGGCAGCAGTTCTCAACCTGTGGGTCATGACCCCTTTGGGGTGTCGAACGACCCTTTCACAGGGGTTGCCCGATTCATAACAGTAGCAAAATTACAGTTATGAAGTAGCAACGAAAATAATTTTATGGTTGGGGGTCACCACAAACAACATGAGGAACTATTTTAAAGGGTCGCAGCATTAGGAAGCTTGAGAACCTCTGATCTAGGGGGATTTAAAAGCGGTCTGTCTGTTAAAGTGTAGGGACAGGGGAGAGAGCCAATTAGTGCCTGGGGACCTTGCCTCTCTGTGGAGGTGTGACGTTTGAGGTTGGTGTTTGCTTAGGAGTCATCTTTGTCAGTAGGATCGGTGCCTTACACTTACTATAACCCAGCGGGTTGAGCACATGCCGATGATATTGTTTGTTTAGTAAATATCCATTAACTCATTGAACAATCTGAACAATCTGCTAAATCTGTGACCAGAGGTCAGCGTGAGTGACCAGTGAGCAACTTTAATGACTGTGTTTATCCATCGTGTCTTAGGTGACTGTGTCGGGCAATGACCTCTGCCTTATGACTTCGCATTTGGAGAGCACCAGAGGGCATGCGAAGGAACGCATCAGTCAATTGCAAGTGGTTCTAAAGGAAATGCAGGAGGCTCCGGAGTCCGCCACGGTGATATTTGCAGGAGACACAAATTTAAGGGATCAAGAAGTAAGTGATGAAGCTCCGTGAGGTTATTGCTGTGGAAACCAAAATTTACTTTTCTTTTGACCGAAGCTTTGGGTCCTTTGATGATTCAAAACATATGAAGGGACCCTGAGATGTCATTCAGCAAACATATCATTTGCTAGTGCCTAGTATGGAGTCCTGGTGGCTGTTACCCATTGAGCTGCTAAACACAAAGTCAGCGGTTTGAACCCACCAATTGTTGTGTCAGAGTACAATGAGGCCCCGGAAACCCACATGGGCAGTTCTACTCATAGACAGGGTCACTGTCAGTCAGAATTGAACTTGATGACAGCAAGCTTGGTGTTGGGTTATATGCCTGGTGCTGCAGGAGCAGGTTCTGAAGAGGGCTCCTACATAACTGAAAGAATAGAAAATGTGGGTACGTATAAACATGTAGCACAAAGCATCATGGATTCAAGTAGTGAGAGGTAGGGACAAAATAATAGCGAAGGAGCTCGCTTCATTTGCAGCATTTCTAGTTGCCGTTGACAGTAGCAGAAAGGCGTCACCGTTATTGTTGACCCTCTGGTCCTTCTGAGGTTCCTTTCTCCTTGGCCTTTACCAGCCGGGAACCTCTTCCCTTTTCCCGTTCACTTTCCTCTCAGTCCAGTTGCGACATGTTGGGATTTCCCAGATTTAGAACCTATTAAATGGTGATGCCTACCTTGCTCCCCC